GTTTCATGGCCTGAGCTACAAGGCTATTAATGGTGATGTTGATGGTGGGTTTTAGGTGGTGCTCCGGCACACCGCTGGGTGGCGACGATCGTTTGATATATGAAATGAACGGAATGATGACAAAGTTGGTGCTCCGACGCCTTGAAAATCAAGGGTCGTATGATATATTGATGAATGGATTTTCTTACAAACTGCCACTACTCCTAAGAAAGCTAGTAAAAGTATTGAAAGTACATTACAAGAAGCTAAATGACAAGAAGTAAATGACAGGAAAATATAATCTACTCCGTGGGAGGCTTGTGTTTTGGTGTTGAACCCTTCAAATGTAGTTGGAGCCTGGTATTTATAGGGAGGGTCCTGAAAAGACAATGAAGCTGAAAATCTGCATGGTGAGGTTGATCAGAGCTAGTGGGTAGTCGAATCGACATTTGGGAATGTGAAGCATGGTGGTGTGACCCCCAGAAATCCCGGCCGCCGCCCTGATCATGGGTTCTGCGCCTTCGGGCTGGGCCTTGGAGGAGTATTTAATGCTCTAGTCTGACGGTTGGTGACTTAATCTTACAAGTAAGATTTTCGCACCTTTACCCTTATTTTACTCACCACACCCTGACTTCAATCACGTCCCCTCTTTCTTGGCTCATTAAATGCTCCTACGTGGACCATGGGCCTTCTGCTGTGGTCAGAGGCGTTACCTCATTAAATGAAGCATGGGGCCTTGACGCCACGTGGCGACGCTGCTTGATTTCTTGTCTTGGCCGTGCTTTGGAGGAGTTATCACTCCTTTCGTCCTCGGCTGATAATACCGAGGCCGCGAGGGTCTTGCCTTCACAGCTCATCTTTGTTTTACGAAAGAAAATGAACAACGAGCTGCCACATTCGGCATGTGGGCAGTTGCTAGGGCCGAGAGGAAGTCCATTCGGTCAATTTTTATGGCCGAGATTTATTAGGCACAAACACATTGCATGGTTGATTCTCCAAGGAAAAAAAACTCTCCTCACCAAGGCACAAGGTTGATCGGCTCCGCCAAACAATAGTTTTACTTTAAAGTTTCCAATTGTGAATAAATTCTCAACTAGAAACTTGGGGACTCGAGGTACTCTATGTATATCGACCTCACCAAACCTCCAACACCATAGTTAAAGGGAGATAATCACTACTACAAAAATTGAAATAGACGACGGTAATCCACCGTCGTGTATTTAGTTTTTCAACCGTCGTGAAATCGACCGACATCTTTTGATGCATAAAACCACGACGGTAAATCCTCGTCATCTATTATTTGTAAAGACGACGCTTTTACTCAAAACCGTCGTCTATTATATGTAAAAGCGTCGTCTATTTGATGTAAAGGCGATGGTTTTTTAAAAGGACTGTCGTCTATCTGATGTAAAGACAACGGTTTTTGTGAAAAAAACTGTCGTCTATTTGATGTAAAGGCGACGGTTCTTTTTAGAGAACTATGTTTTATTATATCCAAAGACGTCGGTATTTGTTAAAAAACGTCGTTGATTGTATATAAAAAAGACATTATAGTGTTAAAATAGGTCATTCATAATATATACAGACGACAATTTTTCCAATAAAACCATCGTTTTATTATCTTTAAATCTGTCGTCTAATAAGTTCACAAGCTATTACATTTTAGTTTTTTGAAGAGTCAATAATTATTACATAGTCAACCAATCTTTATTCTATTACATACATACTTCCTACCTATAATTGGAAATAACGGAGCTCAATAATAAAAATATCAGTCACAATAAAAAAATTCATTACATTAAAAAAATATCAACATTCTTCCACCAAATTCACAAGCTATCCAAATTTGAACAAATTCAAATCCAAGTCTAGACATACATCTCTCTCAAAAACAAACCTAGATGACTCTACAACCCAGTCTAGATAGGTCAATTGATCCAAAAACATAAAAATAAGATTCACCACAGTTGAATGACTGCAAGCTTCTGCTCTTCTGGTGGAACCTTCAAAAGCAGGCATATCATCCATCTGGTTGCAACTTCAACTCTTTTACCAACTGTTTACCAAACTATGTGATTCATCTGACCTGTACCACGAAGTTATGAATTAAAAAATGAAAAGAAATGGCAGCAAAAATGTAAAGCAACTTAAAATGAGACATTGTGGTGCAATTGTTCATAAGATTTCCGCTGTTTCTCATATGAAGAGACATTTTCATCACTGAGCTCTCTTTTAGCATTAAGGAATTTGGCATTTTCATGCTCCATTTGGCAAAGTGACTAAAAGTACCACGAAAATGCATTAATTACAATCAAAACCAGTATTCCACTATTGAAATAAAGAAACAGATATCATTAGCAAGAAAATAAATTAGAAGCTCTGTCCAACATAGATAAAGCACACATATAAGGTGTAAAATCAACATCTAACCCTCTAGACCCAGAAAGAAAGATAGAAATGTAGAGAAACCAATGTTGTTACCACTAAACAGCAATGTACAAAGTCAGCAATCTTAAATTAATAACCAAAAATGAAATACAAGTCTCCTATAACAAGAGAAGTCATATGAAAGTTTATGTGAAAACGGTACAAGAGCACAATTGGATATTTTTTTTTCACTCTACTCTGTTAATAGGATTAAAATTTACTTACATGAGGATAAATAGAGATTGACAAAGATATCGATTGGCCAGTAATCAGATGTACGTTTAAATGATTTCACCAAGCTGACGGGAAAAACATAATAAAAATAATAAGTCACCTGCAGCTAAATTATCACAAGTCCACTGCTAGATGAAAATACATCAAATATAAAAGTCCAGCTTCAATAAATTTTTACCCTTTCAATTCCACTTTGGAATTTGACTCAAAATAGTAAAGGGATAAATATAGGCATGCGAATTAAATGGCTTAATATATTAAACAAACAAAATATGGCTACAAATACCACACAAAGTAGAAGATAAAAAAATTGCAATAATCAGTGCAAGAATCAAAAAGTCAGAGAGCATAAGCTCACCAATAAGACTAAAGAAAAAGGCAGCATGAAGATGAAAACCAAATAGCCAGAGATCCAAGATTTCTTATCATAGGAGCTCTGTCAAGTTAAGTGAAATGTTCAGTCACAATAAAATGAGCAAGTAACCCATATTAATAGCATCATTGAGCAAATATCATTCAGACTTCAGAGTACTAGAGACTTCAAATGAGATAAATACCAAACAAAAACAAACCAAGAAACAAAAACCATAGAATTCTATAACCAGAATAGGAAAGGCAATGGACCTATAATGTTAAAATCTTAAAGCATTTCATCATTTTCTATGAAAAACATACAAATTCTGAAAACTGGATAAGAAAGTAAGACATGCCCACTAAAGAAAATAACAAATCAATAAATTCCAATAAAATAGTGAGCATATATAACATACCATATTTATAAAAAACCCAAATGAGAAACTCACTTAAATCCCACGAAATTAGCACAATACATGAACAAACATATATATATATATATATAAAGACCGATTTCCATAAGTCTTTCTGGATCGAGTCGCTGAGTTTGATGAGCAAGTTGAGTGCCTGAGAGCGAGATCTTCTTTGAAGAAAGTGAAGGTCGAGATCTTCACCGCATCCAAACATCTCTTGATTCTCAGATCTAGAACCTCCCTCTCCGTCTTGTGGATTTGTGAGCTAGAGAGAGAGACAACAAGAAAGAGAGCGCCGGCAAGAGAGAGCCATCGAGAGAGGGCCGTCGAGAGAGCCAGAGTGAAGATAGCTAGAGAGTTAGCGCGATATTAAAACCAAGATGGCGACCTCAGTGACCTGGATGGCGAGATCTGTGACCTGGATGGCTCGATCTATGACCCGGATGGCGAGCTCGTAACCAAGATGGCGCAATGGAGATGGTGTTTGAGAGAGGGAGAGAGGGTTTTCTGAAAGGGTCGTGAGAGTGAGTGTTTGAGAGAGAGAGAG